TTTCTTTCTTAATAAAAAAAGCTTTTCTACAATTTTCTTTAATGTGTGAATTTATTACTAAATTATCTTTTTAACAAAACTTTATTCTTATAATTAAAATAAATCCTATAATAGTTGTCAATATAAAGAAAAGTAATAGACCATTTGACAAATTAATCGATAATTTAAAAGATTTATTTCTAGAACAATTTTTAAAAAGTTTTGCTTATAAATTTAGAATATTTTAATATTTTCATTAAATTAATTTCTAATGTTTAATTTATTAAAACTCTTCGATAAAATAGATTAATTTTCTATATCTTTAAAAAAGTTTAATTATACATCTAGGTTAATTGTTATTTAAAAAGATTAGATTATTTTTACTTTCTCTTTTCCGAGTAGCACTCGAATGGATTTGAACCATTATTAGTAGACTTAGAAGATCTATACTTTTCCAATTAAGTTACAAGTGCTTATTATTCTTAATTCAATAAGACCACGATCTTTTTATGTGAAAAGATATTTTATTTTTTGGAATTATAACTTTTAAATTAAATTATGTTTTTATATTTCAACACAGAATAATAAATAAAAAAGTTCTCGTAAAAAGTTTATATTATTTTTTTTTAATAGTGTTTTTAGAATATTACTATACATTATTATATTTTTATATTTCTATAATATATCTTATATTAATTAACAATAATTTATTAACAATATTAATTATAAATATATTAGTTAAGTTTATTTTTTAATTAACTTAACATTATTATGAATTAATTTTATTAAATATTAAATAAAATTATCTTATTATTATTTAATATAATAATGGTCTTTCTTAATAAAAAGGTATAATCCTATTTTTGCTCAGTTTTTATTATAATATTTGCTCCGAGGGTGAATCGAACAACCGTAAAAGGTTTTTCAAACCTCTACTTTACCACTAAGCTATCGGGGCGCACTTAATCTTTTGTACTATAATTAATTTATGTAAAAAATAAGCTATATGAAGATTTCATTTTTATACTGTTTTATATTATTTACAAATAATAAACGGACTTGATCCTTTGTACTATAATTAATTTATGTAAAAGATAAACTATATAAAGATTTTATTTTATACTGTTTTATATTATATACCAATAATGGACACCGAATATTATTAATTAATTTATCAAATATTATTAAGTAATTTATTAAATATTATACTACAGATTTATCGCGTAATAGAAGGGAGGGTATTAATTTTTTAATTGCTTGATATATTAAATGATTAGTTTTTCAAATAATTGTCATTATAATAATAGCTTAATCGTTTACTAAAATTTTTAAATGATCTTATATAGTATTAATTATTTTTATTATTATAAAATAAATAAATTATTGATTTATCTTTATTTTCAATCAGAACAATATTTTTTAATTTGGTATTATTATAATAAAATTTTTCTGGTTTATTATTAATAAATTATTGTTTAAATTGAATATTTAAGTTATTATTATTATTTGTAATTTCCCCTTATATATTAAAAATGATAATACATGAAAATTTCTAGATTGATTATATTTAAAAAGGTTATTTAAATTATTAACTTTAGAAATAACTTTTAGGGGGTGTTATTTGATTTAGTTTTAGTTCCTAAATCGAATAATGTATTTTCAATTATACCAACTACTGGTAAGATTACCAAGAAATAAGAAAAATAGAAAATAGTAGATACTTGACCAATCTCAACTAGAGGAGATTCTGGATGGTTTGCACCGATCCAACCAAGTATTAAGAAATTAGCTACAAATAGCCAGAAAAAGAATTTCATAATTGGTCTAAATTGCATTGATCTTATTCTAGAAGTATCCAAGAATGGAGTAGCTAGTAAGATTAAGATAGCAGCAACCATCCCTATTACACCCAATAATTTATGAGGTATAGATCTTAAAATTGCATAGAAAGGAAGTAAATAGAATTCTGGAACAATTGAAATAGGAGTAACTAATGGATTTGCTGGTATATAGTTATCACTTTCTCCAAAGAAATTAGGATTAAAGAATACAAAATATGCAAATATAAAGAAGAAAACAAAAACTCCTACTAAATCTTTAAAACTATAGTAAGGGTGGAATCTTATTCTATCTACATTAGAAGTAATCCCTAATGGGTTATTTGATCCGTGTTCATGAAGAGCAATAAGATGCATTATTACTAATGCAGCTAAAATAAACGGTAATAAATAATGTAAACTAAAGAATCTATTTAAAGTAGGGTTTCCAACAGAAAAACCTCCCCATAAAAACTCTACGAAATCGTTACCAATCCACGGTATTGCTGACATTAAATTAGTAATTACTGTTGCACCCCAAAAACTCATTTGACCGTAAGGTAAAACATACAAACTTATCGTATATTAAATATAATATAATATATAACCAAAATAACTTTAATTTCGTATATTTTGTTGAGTTTATTACTCAAAAGTTCCGACTGTGCATTAAGCACCATTTCAGGCACCCATTAGTGACCCAGTCTGTCGCGATTATTTAGATAACCGACGATCTTCTGCTAAATAGCCATTGATCGTTTTCACTAACATTGCCAAAGAAATAAAACATTTCTTCAATAACTTTGTCAAGTTATTCCACTTTATTTCTATTTTTTTCTAAAAATTGCATAGAAATTTACACTCGTGGGACTATAATCTTAATATAAAATTATTTATATTTTACTATCCACTGTCTTAATAATATTTTTTTTTCTGTTAATAAAGCTCTTCTTATCGTTTTTTCATTACATTTTATACTGTTAGCTGCATCTAATATACTATTATATTCACCATATACCGTACCATTACTTTTATTATATAAAATGATAGGTTTAGAATTTTTTTGCATATTAGTTAAAGCTTCTTCAGTAAATGTTCGAGGTAATCTAATTAAAGCTTTTTCTTTCATTTTAGCTTTAGTTGCTTCATTTAAAATCTTATTTTTATTTAAATTACCTATAGCTTCTCTACGTTCATCACTATAATTTGCTTTCATTTTTATACGATCTATTTCAGTGTGCTTATAACCAAAATTATTTCCAGCTTCAGTTAAAATATTATAATTAGGTAATAAAGATTTAAGATAAAAATCCTCTAAATCTAATAATTTTTTATTATTTTCTTTATTAACTTTTTCTGGAAATAATTCAACTATAATAAAAGCAAAATTTTCTAGACTGTATTTTCTAACAGCTAATTTTATAATTTTACTACCTGTTAAATTAATTAAATGTCTATAAAAACGAGTATAAAATTTGTCTGTGGATGCAGAGCCTATATAATAATCTAAAGTTATTTTATTAAGAATTAAATAAACACCACTAAGATTATTAGTATCCTCTTTAATTTTATCTTTTATTGTTTGTAAAGATAAATCTTCATAGTAGAAAACAGGTTTTATATTTTTTTCTATAAGAAAATCTTCTAATATTTTAGAATTATTATTATTAGAAGTACTATAATATCTTTTTTTACTATTATTATGAAGATTAAACTGAGAATTGAATTTATTGAAATAAGAATTTAATTTATTAAAACGTGGATTAAAATTTTTATTATATTTAGACCATTTTAGGCCAGTTTCCAAACCTAAGAATCCTGTAATTATTAATAATAAGAATATAATTACACCTATTGACCATAACATTACTCTTGGTGCTTTATAAGAACCATAATATAATCCTTTAGCCATATGGATATATATGAAAATAAAGAAGAATGCAGCTCCATTTGCATGTAAATATCTTATCATCCAACCATAATTTACATCTCTCATAATATGCTCTACACTAATAAAAGCTAAGTCTACATGTGGAACATAATGCATTGCTAATGTAACACCTGTAGCAATTTGAATTACTAATACTATCCCAAGAAGACTTCCGTAATTCCATAAATATGAAATATTTGAAGGACTAGGTGAATCTATTACATAACTATTAACTAAACTTAAAAAAGGATGGGTTTTTAAAAGTTTCAAAATAAATAAATTCTTTAATATTCCTTAATCTTAGGCTTATTATTAAATTATAATAATAAGCTATACTTTACTAAAATGTAAAAGAATGAAAAAGGTATATTTCTTTATAGAAATATATTATTTTTACTTATTTTTTTTATTAAGTTTTTATATTATTTATTTTTTATTTATTAAGTTTTTATATTATTTATTTTTTTATTTATAATATAAACTTAATATAAAATTGTGCAAAATTATAAAAATAAAATTGGTTATTAAGCATATTCTTTAACCATTATAAATAATTCATATTATTATTATGGACTTAATATTTAACCATATAATTATTTAAAAATTATTATTAATAATTATTATTAAAATATAAATGACATATTAGAATTTTTAAATAATTATTAATTTATAGATAATATACTAAAATATATTAGTAGTAATATTAAAATTTTTAAATAATTATTAATATATAAATAATAAAATTCCTATTACTTAAATAAACTTATAAAAATAAACTTATTAAAAATAATTTAATTTATATATAAATTTTAGATTTAAATTTTTATAGTTTAAATTAACCTCAGATATCTAAAGATTAATCTAAATAAACGACATAAATTGTTTCTTTAGAAAAATATTAAATTTTTTATTATTTAAAAAAAAAATTTGAATATTTAACTCACTTATTTATTTGCATCTTTTAAAAAGGATATTTAAAAAAATTAAAAAAAAATTAATAATATACAATTTTGTATATTATATAATATATTATTATCCCTATATTTTATAATATATTATTACCTTAAATATAAGGTTATAAAAAGAATAGGACAAGGAAGAGTCGAACTTCCATCATATCCGTTATGAGCAGAGAGCTTTACGTTAAGCTATTGTCCTATTCAAATATGTAATCTCGCTAGCCATTATTTACTAATTAAATAACAATAAGAATAATTAATATTCTCAGTACTAACTATTAAATAGTTTTTTTTAAAGGGGTTTAAAAAATTTAAAGTCGTTAAGAAGAATTGAACTTCTATCTAATAAATATGAGTTATTTGTTCTAACCGTTGAACTATAATGACTTATTATATATCAAGGTATGAGAATGTTAATTTATTACAATTAAAATTTATAAATGGATTAACTAACAAATAAAAAAATTCCACACTAATAGTATATTAACCTCTACTATTATTCTTTACTATCATCCTTTATTAAAGAAGACAATAAAATCCATTCTTTTTTATATAATTTATTTCAATCTTAATAATAAGATATTACACGTGAATTAATATCAAAAATTTTTGTTACCTCTGTACAAGAATCAAAAGTTTTATACAATATAGTGTCTTGATTACTTGAATCAAATAAATAAATAAATACACTTTTACACATTGGATAATTTTTTCCTATTTTATTTATATTTTTTTTTAAGTAATACTCATTTTTGCTCTAGTATTTGCAAATTTTTATTTACCCATTTTTATTTTAATTTCATTAGAATGTTTAGTACCTAAACTAGATCTTGCTACTTTTAATAAATTAAATGTATTTAGTTCATTTACTGAAAAAATTTAATTAAAATTAAATTATTTTCGTTAAAAAATCAATTTTCGTGCTTTTTCTTTAGATAAATTAGAGATATCAATTGACTCAAGAATACTAAAAGAAAAGACTGAATGAGTATGACAAATAATAGCATTACAAATATAATTTTTTGTTCTTTTTAAAGAATATTTTATATAATATATACTTTTTTATTTGCTTTACTAATATTAATCATTTTTTCTCAATTATTAGTTTTATCGTTAAATTATAATGACTATATATAGTTTATATAATAAAAACTTCATCTTTTTAATATTCATAATATACTTATTCTAATTTAACTAATAAAGGTAAAGCTAAAGAAGATAATATTTAAAAAAATACTTTTTTATAAAGAAATAATTTATAAAAACAGATTATATTCTAAAATTATAAAAACAGATTATATTCTAAAATAAAATTATGATTTATAAAGCTTTAATACTTTAAAACTTTTCTTGAAAAAAAGGGGATACATTCTTCCTGAAGATTTTACGGATAAATTTTATTAATTAATAAATAATATAAAGTTTATTAATTAATAAATAATGTAAAGTTAATTTTAAATAAAATTAGCTTCCTTTATCTCTTTAATTATTATTAAATAATATTTATATAACCATTATATAATATAGAATTTACTAAAAATTAAATTTTATTATAAAATTTATTATAATAAATCTAGAAGCGCGGATGACAGAATCGAACTATCAATACAAGATCATGAGTCTTATGTGTGAACCACTACACTAATCCGCATTATTTTTATATTTACAATAAAATTATATAAGCTTCTCTGAGTTTTTCGGGAAAGCTTTTTTTATAAAATAATGCAAAGTACACTTAACTTCCTTCAAAATTTTTAAATAAAAATAGACTTTTTGATAAAGGAAGTTTTAATTAAAAAAGAAAAAAATATAAAATATATTTTTATATAAATATATTTAGCTTTATTTTATAGGACTGAGAGGACTTGAACCTCTACTATCGGTCTTATCAAGACCGCGCTTTAACCAATTAAGCTACAATCCTCTAATTAAAAATAAAAATAAGTGCCCTAATTTATAAAATTACTTTAATTACTATAGTCATTAGTTAAATGAACATATAATATATTTACCGCCTTAAATAAATAATAAGAACGGATTAAAATTTAGTTTATTATAATTCTGGTCTTAATTGACAAGAGAAATAAAAAAATTAAAATGTTAGCAAGCGCAAAAATCATAGGTGCAGGATTAGCTACAATCGGATTAGCAGGTGCAGGTGTTGGAATTGGAACAGTATTCGCAGCTTTAGTAAACTCTACAGCTAGAAACCCTTCAATCAAAGCTCAATTATTCTCTTATACAATTTTAGGTTTCGCCTTAACAGAAGCGATTGGATTATTCGCTTTAATGATGGCTTTCTTATTATTATACTCATAATAATATGTGCAAAATCCCCCTTTTTATTAAATAAATATAAAACAAGAATTATTTTTTACTTTAAGACTTGTTAGTTATGAATCCTTTTTTGATTTTACTAATATTATTATATTATTTTACAATGCAGTACCTATAAGAATATATTCTAATGTTGACTTAAATAAAGAAGAAATTATTCAGAATAATAAAAATAAAGCTGGTATATACCAATTTACTAATTTATTAACTGGAGCTTATATATAAGTAGTAGTACTAATTTAAATTATAGATTTCGACAATATTATAATTATATATCTAGTCCTGCTCGAGGTAAAAGCATTATTTATTCATTTTTATTAAATTATGATTATTCAAATTTTAGCCCTACTATTCTTAAATATTGTGAAATTTAAGATACTATAAATCGTGAAGATTTTTATATTAATGCAATTTCTCCTGCTATAAATATACTTCAAGTAGCTGGTAATTCTTTAAATTATAAACATACTGATAATAGTTTAAGTATAATGAGTATTATAAAAAAAAAGTACTTATTTAGGACTAGGTAATAATTTTTATGGTAAATCTCATACTTCTGAAAATATTCAATTATTTAGTAAAATAGCTAAAGCTCGTACTAAATTACATAATGCTAAACCTGTTATTTTAACTGACTCTAATAATGAGCTTATTCAAAATTTCGATTCAATGACTGTTTTAGTTTTATATTTAAAAACAGATAAAGGAAATTTAGTTAAATATAGAGATACAGGAAAATTATTTAGAAATTTATATAATATAAAATCTATAAATAATAAATAACACCTCTTTTTGTTTCGCATTGACAAAAGCAATTGGATTATTCGTTTTAATGATGGCGTTCTTATTACTTTACTAATAATTGTAAAAAGAATAAAATCCCTCTTTAATAAATTCTTATATATAAATAAACAATAGTTACAATATTCAATTTATTTTATGACTATTTATTATGCTTATAAATGTTTACAGATTATGAACTTTTTAATGCTCACAATTATTTATAAATTATGAGTTATCTTTATACTCTTTATCATCTATTTTACCTATAGGTGTAAAATATTATGATGGTCTTTTAATTAATAAGAAATTAATAGTTAAAAAAGAATAAAGGAATATCTGAGTTTATTTATTTTATTTAAGTGGCTATATAAAGATTTAACCGTTATAAATAAATAATTATTAAGTATTATTTTTTTGTACGAGACTTTTTATAAATTTTATAAATGATGAACTTTTTTAATTTACCTTTTTTGACAAAAATACGTCGAATATATCATTACGTAACATTAATGATGCTTGGTTTTGCTTTATTTGTAGTTGGTTTTATATTATTATTTTGTGCTTTTATTTTAGTTAATGGATTATTATTTATTTTTTATGCTGAATAAGATTTTAATAATATATAATAATTTACTCCCCTTTCCCTTTCTTGAACAGTATTCTCTTTAATGATGATATTATTATATTCATAATTATAAAAAGAATAAAATTCCTCTTAATTCTTATATATATAATAAGCAATGGTTACAATTAACTTATTAAATTGTTTCATGATGGCATTCGAAGAAAATAATTTTTTGAATTTATTTGTAATCCCGGTTATAATTAATAATAGCACAGATATAATAAAAGCTCAAATAATAAAATATCTTATTAAAAAGATTGGTATATATAGATAGTAAAATAATATAACAAAAGATTGTAATATTAGTAGTATTATCAACTCAGCATTATTAAAATAAAGATATTCTAATTTAAGCTTAGAAAAACTTAAATTTTATGATAAAAAAAATCATATAAAATCGAGAGTAATATAATTTAAACATATTAAACTCAGTTTATAACATTTTAAAAATTGTTGGTTCTAATTTTAGGCATAAATAAAGAGTTTATTATCAAAAGAGTAAAAATTTTTGTAGATAATAAAAAAGTTCGAGAGAATTTTAAATTTATAAAAATTTCCCTTCATACTATTTCAATCACTGAAAAGACAAAATATTTTAATAAACTTTCTGGGTTTATTAAAGGTATTATTATTGCATTAAAATGTTAATAATAGTAATCTTTTGAAAATAATTTATATAAATTATAAATTTCACCTTATATTATTTAATTTTAGTTTTACAAAAAATCCTGAATCAATATGACTTTTAAGATATTCATAAAAAATTTATTATTTAATTAAAAGTATAAACAAATTGATAATTATCGTACTCTTTTTTCTTCTTTAAATTTTATAAATATTAATTATAATATTTTATAAAAGCTTAATTTATAAATTTATTAAATCTATATTAAAACTTATTTGTATAATTATATTTATAACATATATAATTATATAGAGTTTTTTTATAAAATATATATAATAATAAGGGTTTATAGCTAAAGGACTTAATTTTTAATCAAAATAATGATGGTTTAAGTCTTTTCTATTTAAAATATAATTAATTTCATGCCTAGTTTATTAAATAAAAACAATATAAAATTGTTAAGTGTAAAATTACTATAGAAATATTTTACGAAAATTTCTTAAAATCAATATATTCTCAACTAAAACTAAGAGTTATGGTTATTATAGGATTATTATTATTTTTAATATGCAAAAAACAATACAATCACATCCTTTTCATTTAGTATCAGTTGTTATGGCATTAACACTATAGTTTATATGTAAAAATCTTACAATTATTTAAAAATAAAACAATTAAGAATTTTTATTTCTTGACTAAAAATAAACAATAGCTTAATGTAAAGTCCTCTGTCATATACAGATATTTTGGAAGTTCGACTCTTTCTTGTTTATTCCACCTATTGCCCGCATATAAAGGTAATAGTGCATTATATAATATATAGCCTTTGTGTATTATCAATTTATTTATTAAGCAATGTACTAAATTCGTATATTTCTCAACTTAATTATTAAATTATTAGAATTTTATAAAGTTAAAGTTCTAATCTAGTTAAATATAGACCTGTTATATCGCGAAGGATATGGCTTGTTCTAAAACTGATTTTATATATTGTAAGAATAAATGATGTTTTCTATT